TATCCTTCAGAGAAGAAAAACACTTATAATAAGCTTATAAATGACATTGCTGTGGGTTTTCCTTTTTTCAGAGCAGACTTTGATAGTGAAAAGAAGGAAGAAAACATGTAGGCCCTAAAGATCCTTAAAAGAGAGAAAGAGGTGACACAAGGTAAAAAGGGGTAGAAGATCCTGCAAATAAACATAGCCTCATAGCCTACTGCACAATTTTTTCAAGGTTTTATTATACCATAGAAAGTTATCCCAAAACATACTAACACACTGAGACCTCTAATCTTTTATATGTGTGTGTGTGTGTGTATATATATATACACACATTATATATATTAAACCAACATACAAGTTTCTAGTACATAACAATAAGAAACATAGATAATAAGAAAAACATACTTTTACCAGACCAACTTAAGTTTTTTTTAGAGATCAATTTCTCAGTTTAAGCAGATCAGATATCCACAAGAATATTAAGAGGCAGGATTAACAATAACAAATAAATGCTTAACATTTATATTCAACCAGACAAATATCAAATGATGTATACATCACTTGTTGTATACATATAACAAAATGATGTATACCTGGTGGAACTTTAAAAAATGACAACATGCTTACTGATTTTGTTAAAAAGAAGGTTCAAAGGATAGGGGCTGTCCCATGTGAGATAATTCAGATAAAGCTTAGAGGAGGAGAGAGTCCAAGATGGGCCCCAGGGAAAATCCACAGGTGACCAATGCTCTCCTCATCCAATAATAAATGGATTCGTCCATACACTAGTCATCATCTGCATAAATCTCCCAGATTGCTCATGTTCTTTTTTCCAATGATCTAAAGAAATATTTTGGAACTTTGGGCAATACTAAAAAAAAAGAATCTCTATTAATGACCTACTATGTGTCGGGAACAGTACTAAGCACATCATATAAATTACTTAACAAATACTTGAGTGTGGTGGACAGAATAATGGCCCTCCCAAAGATGTTCATGTCCTAATACTCAGAATCTGTGAATATGTTAGTGTACATGGCAAGGGAGAATTAGGGCTGCTCATCAGATGACCCTGATATGAGGGGATTATCCTCAATTATCTGGCTGGGCCAAATGTCCTTATAAGTAGGAAAGGGAGACGCAAGAGTGAGAGATTTGAAGATGCTATGGTGTTGACTACTCTGTTGGTCTTGAAGGTGGATGAAGGAGCCATGAGCCAAGGAAATACAGGTGGCCTCTTGAAGCTAGAAAAGTAAATGAATTCTCCCATAGAACCTCCAGAAGCAACGCAGTCCTGCTGATACCTTGATTTTAGCCAAGATCCTTTTCAGACCTCTGACCTTCAGAACTGTCAGAGAACACAGCTGTGCTGTTTTCAGCCATGAAATTTGTGGTAATTTGGTAAAGCAGCAATAGGAAACCACTACACTGACTGTTCCATTATTTCATTTAATCCTTATGAAATTCTATTAATGTATTATTATTGCTATTTTACAGATGAAGAAACTGAGTCAGAGTTTAGTTAACTTGCCCAAATTTACCCAGCTAGTGGGTACCTAAACCAGGTTTCAAAACTATTCTAATTCCAAGATCTACCCATTTAATTACTATAATTCTTCTCTCATGGGCTGATATTACCATACACTCAACATTACAACTCCCCACCATGTATTTATTCCAGGAAAAGATTTCATCACTGGGGCCTTATTCTGTATCTGCACATGAAGCAGCTGGTGCAGACTGTGGCTCTTCCAACTCAGAATGAATGAGAACGTTGTATAAAACGTAAAATGGTGACTTATTGGAGGAGTAAAACTAGGAGTTTTACACATATAGATGTGAGCAATGAAGCAGGGAGGCATTCTGACAGCTGCTGATGACAAGCAGAGTGGCTGCTATAGCACATCAGACGCCATGAATCACAAGAGAACTTTCAGTAATGGTTCCCACCAGTTCAGCCCGCTGACACCATTTTTCAGTGTTGACAGACTCAAATAAACATTCCCATTTCCAGTGACTCATTGGGCAGAGACAATTTGACATATGGACTGACCGCTACTGGATAGAGATCCCTCTACTAAAGACTATTAATGTATATTGCAGTTTTACTATTAATCATTTAATGCACTATTGTTTTTCCTTCTGATTTATACTGGTTTTCATAGAAATAGCCATTAACTAAACCTCATGCTCAGTATGAATCCACTCAGATGTCCCTACTCCAAGTCTCAAGGTTTCACTCCTTTCCAATCAATTATCTATCACACAAGAGATTTGGCAAGATTGCAATTAATGTAATTCTGCAACCTGCACAATTAAATTTTGTGCCAAATTTTCAGTAAGCCATAAGAAACAAGAGATTTTTGTTAAGCAGCTCTCTGGTTCTCTGATAATGACTTTGGCTGGCAGCTTAAAGACCTGGGTTTGAATTTCTTCTGTGAGTGCTCCAGTGCATTCAAAGAAAAGCATTCCATACCACAGTGCTTGTAGTCATCATTATTTCCATAATGGTCAGTGCTACCAATGCACTTGATTATTAGACGCTTCCACACAATTAACAGCAGATGAAAATTTTATTAATCCTGATGACACCATATACCATATATTACTAATATCTCATTACACATATGCACAGAACTCAGTACTGTATTCAAGCTCAAGTATACAACCAATGCAATCCCCAAATCTCATCTTTGAAGGTCTGTTTCCTGGGACTACTCCTAGTACCAGTTTTGTATTGGTTGGGAGACGGGAGAGAAAACCCATACCGGTTATTAACACATATATGTTACAAAATTAATGTATAATTTTGACAATTTTGATAATATGACATACAAAATTATTAAGCATGTATTGGAAAACTGAAAAGACAAAAAGGAATATTAAGAAATCATTGAGACAATCATACAAAGAGCAGCTACCACTTCCAGCAACTGGGAATAAAAAGGGGGAAACGTTGTAATGATAAAACTTAGATGCTTGGAGAAGGGACCCATGGAACTGAACTCAAATATCTGAGGAAGGTGCACTGTTCAGCTAGCTCTGGTGTCCCTGAGTAGTCATAATAAGGCTGATTACATGAGTGTTAGAAAACTGCAATCTGATATCTACAGCAGCCATGGAAAGAACTGACACTGCTTCTGAGGTAAAGAAGCTTTTCTGGGGAAATGCTGGAGGGAGCAGGCATGTGTACCCCTACCTCCTCTATCTTTGCAAACTTCCAGTTGCCCCTACTGGCAAACCCTAACAGAGAACCGACCTGCCTGCAAAGCAGAAAGGTGAGTTTGCAGTGTCTCAGCTCAAGCACAGAAACACATGGTATACTGTTTAGTTCATTCATTCACTCACCACATATTTTTAAAGGCCTACTATATTCTGGGTACTGGTGACCAATGAACAAAATAACAGCCTCTGCTTTTGAAGTTGACATTTTGGTAGGGCAAGGCCAATAATAAATAAATAAACAAATATTTAATATTTGAGGTGGTAAAAAATGCTTTGAAGGAAAATAAATCAGAGTAATGGGGTGGAGAGAAATGGGGCGAGAATCAGTAGAGATGGAGACAGTGTAGGTAAAGCATGAGCAGCAGAGCCACACTGCCAGCACCTGAATCCTAGCTCTGCTTCTTACTAAACCTATGATCTCAGATAAGTTTCTTTATTTTTTTATTTATTTTTTATTGTACTTTAAGTTCTAGGGTACATGTGCATTATTCTCAGCAAACTGTCAGGTAAGTTTCTTAACCTCTCTGTACCTCAGTTACTTTACATGTCAGATGGAGATAATGGTGACAAAAATATCGACTTCATGGAATTGCTGTAAAGATTAAATAAATAGGTATTTATAAAGTGCTTAGAATAATATGTGGTGTATACGTTCCATATTGTTAAAGAGTGGTATCATACAATGACAAAGACTACAATGAGCCTAGATTGGGAGGAGGGAGAGTGTGGTTATGGTAAAAGAAGACATAAAAAGTATGGAAACAGTAATGAGGAACAAAGAAGACCTGAACTCCAGGCCAGTGATAGGAGGGATATAAAAGAGAAAACAGCTAACCATGAGAAGTCTGAGAGGGAGGCAAAGTCTTCAAAGGAGAATCAGGTTTAAGCCACATTCAGAAAACAGGCTGAGAATACAGTGCTGTAGACAATAGTGGATGCAATTTAGAGAAAGACACAGAGGTGTGAAAGAAGTATTTGCCACTTATTACCTTATATTTACTAAAAGTAAAAACACTATGATTAGAATGATAAGGCCAGGCACGGTGGCTCACGCCTGTAATCCCAGCACTTTGGGGGCCAGAGGCAGGCAGATCACCTGAGGTCAGGAGTTCGAGATCAGCCTGACCAACATGGAGAAACCCTGTCTCTACTGAAAATACAAAATTAACCGGGCGTGTTGGCACATGCCTGTAATCCCAGCTACTCAGCAGGCTGACGTGAGGCAGGAGAATTGCTTGAACCCAGGAGGCGGAGGCTGCGGTGAGCCGAGATTATGCTACTGCACTCTAGCCTAGGCAACAAGAGCAAAACTCCATCTCAAAAAACTTAAAAAAAAAAAAAAAGAATGATAATAGTTTTCTGACAGTAAAAACACCAAAACATTTATTATGAACAATAATGTAATTTCTATAACACTGTCTAGTTTAGAAAACGTTTTCACATCTACTGTTGTTGCTCTTAATAAAATTGTGAAACCGAGATAATATACATTCACAATGAGAGTGAAGACAGAGGTAAACCTAATATTAGTCCAATAATTCTCAAATATTTGACAATTGCTAGGAGGGTGAATATATCTACTGAAAACTAAAATAAGGCTTTAGGGAAAATATGTTGTAGACACTAAGATGTTTTCATAGTGTATATGTAAAACAGTAGATAGATTCTGAGCTTCTGGTGTTTCCAAATAAAAAAAGGCTTTTTGGTAGAGCAATATACTAGTTAAACCACAAAGTACCTAGACAGTGGATCCCTAATGGCCCAAACACAAGGCTACTTTTCAGAGGTCCTACCATATTGGAAAACAGCCCTTAAAATGTGGCCATTCTGCATACTTGTCAACACACTGAAACCTCAAGGTGACCCAGACTAAAAGGTCTGTCTACTGCTCTCTTACCGAGCTGTCATTCCCAGCATAATTTCAGGGGACTCCAGGGACTTCCAACATGTACTTTATATAGATCACTTAGAAGTCCAAAATGCCACAATAGTATCTAAAAATAGATTTTTAGGATAACAGAATCAAAATTAGTTTCCTAGTTTGACACAAGATCTTAAAGAACTCTCATCTAGTCTCTCACATTACTGATTTGAACAATGAAGTAGAGTGAAAGAAAGTGACTTACTCAAGGGCGCAGAGGTTCACAGTTCATGGTGACAGCAGTAGGGCTAAATTTCTGGTTTCCTAGATACTGAGCCCAGTGTTTTCATTCAGCTCTACACGCTGCCTTAGTATTATTGGGAGAATGATACAGGAAAGGGAAGCAACCTGGAATCAAAACCGATACAGGAAAAGAAATATTGGTGGGGAGGACATGACTTACAGCTGCATGTGACCAACCTTACAGAAGTGAAAAAAGTGGCTCATCAGTGTAATTAATCACTGTGTAACATGCACACATATTCTGCAGATTTCTTAAGTGACAGGACATAAAAATTTAATTTCTACAGCTTATTATATTTCTACATTTGAACTGATTTGTAAAGACCTCGAAGACAACTCCATTTTCCAAGTCTTGGTATTCCCTCAAGCCCATCACAAACTGGGCCCACAATAGTTACTCAATAACTGCTTCCTATGTATGTAGCTGATTATAATACTTGCCAAAACATTTACCCTTTGGTTATGAAAATTATTTTTAATTTTTTCTTCTTTGTTTAGCAAAGCAACATTTAGAATTATTCTAAAACCACCTACTGATATATAGATTTTATTTAGAAAACATTTGTTTCATTCAGTTAGTGATTTTTTAGCAAAATTTGCAAATCAAAATTATGATTTAGATGAATACAAAGTAACGCATTTGAAGTTATGAAGATTTGCTTCATGAAGGATTTAAGAAAACAAGGGTTATTCTACATGAAATGCCACATAAAGCAATTTAGCAGACTTGAACAGCAAGTTATGGGAGGGAATATGTGCAAAGAACTACATAGGAATGGAGCACTTTTAGTTTCTATGGTAACCAACATAAATGAATACTGTTTTGGAAAATGTACTAGCAAAGTCAGTGAGACGTCAATTTGTAAACACAAAAACCAAAGACCCAATTCAATCCTATGGTATAAATCCACAGTTTTCCTCTAAATGGAACTGAAAAATTTTTTAAAGCCCTATTGCTAACTAGTCTGTTCAAAGGATTTTTTTCTTAATTTGCTATTCTGCCTTCTGGGTATTTGTCTGCTACACAAACATTTATCAATAACTAGAAATGACTTTTTTATTGCCTGCTGGATCGTTGATTAAAACTCTAGTGGAGAAGCCAATGAGAACATAATTGTCTAACAATCCCTTCCTCCCAAATGGGTGTGGTAAATTGACTCCAGAGACCAGGACACGCAACATGATAACTTTTTCAAAATTAATTGAAATATTAATAAAACAAAAAAGAAGAAATATGTATATTTACTTTTATCTAAGCAAGTAAATCTCCTTTGTTGTAAAAACTGTATTCAATGTATGTTTTCAGTTTTTCAGATAAAGAGAGAGGACTATGTGAAGTTATTTTCAGAGACAGAGCAAAATCCATTGCCCAGGTGCCATGATGTTCTTCTCTCTTGTGTATGCTTAGCCTCCTCAGTATAATAAAGATGGTCAAAGATTATACAATTTATACCCATTTAAACATATACACTTTACTCCTAAAGTAAATGACTAAAATAAGACACTTATCTGAAGAAGAAACTTCCTGTAATTACATAAGTGTTACAGTGATGAAGAGAGCTGCACAGTTATTTCAACATTTCATGTAAAATTGTCATGAAAAGGAAAAAATTTCACAATGTACAATGCAAAATGCTTTCATTTAATGCTTGTTTTATTAATATCATTGAGTTGTCTAGAAATCAGAGTCTCTAAGCATATTGAGTTTAATTTTCAACATGCCAGTTATCTTACTCCAAGTGTTTATTCCAATGCTTTAAAAAGAAGGAATTATATCTAAATGCTGTGTGTCTGTACATTGACCTAGCTTGATGAACTGGTAATGCTGCTTCCTTCAGCCTCATATTATAAAGGGTTCTTCCGACATCCTACACAGTTATACTATAATCAGATTTTCTAAGTATCTAACTGTTAATACTCATCTTATTCCACAATGATGCTACTGATAGAGAGTATGTGCAGACTAATAAGATCAAGTCAAAATGATTGATCTTGCCAAAAGATCTTTTTTATTTTCTATTATTTATTAAGAAACACTGTAGGAGGTGCTGGAAATGTAAGAATGAGTAAGATGCCCTGCTATCCAGGATATCACAAGCTAGCAAGAAAAGAAAACCAAAAACATGGCTAACAAAATATTGTGGTTGCATAAGAATTCAGTAATTCAAAGGAAAAACTCAAATTAAAACAAGTTTTCAAAATTTATGTTATAATGCCTACTACTTTGTTTTGAAATATTTCTTTTTTTAATTTTTTTATTATTATTATACTTTAAGTTCTAGGGTATATGTGCATAACGTGCAGGTTTGTTACATATGTATACTTGTGCCATGTTGGTGTGCTGCACCCATCAACTCGTCAGGACCCATCAACTCGTCATTTACATCAGGTATAACTCCCAATGCAATCCCTCCCCCCTCCCCGTGATAGGCCCCAGTGTGTGATGTTCCCCTTCCCGAGTCCAAGTGATCTCATTGTTCAGTTCCCACCTATGAGTGAGAACATGCGGTGTTTGGTTTTCTGTTCTTGTGATAGTTTGCTAAGAATGATGGTTTCCAGCTGCATCCATGTCCCTACAAAGGACACAAACTCATCCTTTTTTATGGCTGCATAGTATTCCATGGTGTATATGTGCCACATTTTCTTAATCCAGTCTGTCACTGATGGACATTTGGGTTGACTCCAAGTCTTTGCTATTGTGAATAGTGCCGCAATAAACATACGTGTGCATGTGTCTTTATAGCAGCATGATTTATAATCCTTTGGAGTATCTCACCCAATAATAGAATGGCTAAATCCTCAGTATCATTGGTTGTTTGAACATGATGGTTGGACACAGTTTAGTCCACCCAGCAGTGTAAAAGTGTTCCTGTTCTCCCAGCCTCTCCAGCACCTGTTGTTTCCTGACTTTTGTGGTACCCATTCTAACTGGTGTGAGATGGTATCTCATTGCGGTTTTTGATTTGCATTTCTCTGTTGGCCAGTGATGACATTTTCATGTATGTCTGTTGGCTGTATGAATGTCTTCTTTTTAGAAAAATGTCTGTTTCACTTATCCTTTGCCCACTTTTGGATGGGGGTTCTTTGCTTTTCTTGTAAATTTGTTTTGCAGAGTTCTTTGTAGGTTCTGGATATTAGCCCTTTGTCAGATGAGTGGAGATGGGGTTGTTTGTTTTTTTCTTGTAAATTTGTTTGAGTTCTTTGTAGGTTCTGGATATTAGCCCTTTGTCAGATGAGTAGATTGCAAAAATTTTCTCCCATTCTGTAGGTTGCCTGTTCACTCTGATGGTAGTTTCTTTTGCTGTGCAGAAGCTCTTTAGTTTAATGAGATCCCATTTGTCAATTTTGGCTTTTGCTGCCGTTGCTTTTGGTGTTTTAGACATGAAGTCCTTGCCCATGCCTATGTCCTGAATGGTACTACCTAGGTTTTCTTCTAGGGTTTTTATGGTATTAGGTCTAACACATTTCTAGACTTGAAATTCCTATTTTTCCAAAATTGATATTTGTGGGAAAGTAATCACTAATACTCTGAGAGGTTAATATGATATATATTTAGAAAGAAAACTTTCAGACAAATTAAATTTAGCAGAGTTTATTTAAGCAGCACACTGAACAAGTTGAAGCTCATGGAGTTCCACCCGTCAGTGTAGGCAGGCAGTATTTGTAGACAGAAGAAGGAAGTAATGTACATAAAGAGCTTGGTTGATTACAGCTCCACATTTGGGCCTTATTTGGGTCTGGTGTGATGAGGCATTTGCTTTATATGGACATGGTCTGATCAGTTGGCAGACTGTGATGGGCTGAAACTCAGCTGCTATGATTGGTTAAGACTCAGCTACTTGTAAGAAGAATATATTCTTAAGTTAGGTTGCAATTTGTTTACATACTAAGATAGGTTGCTTTTTGCTACTTACAGAGGCAGCTCTAAGCCAAATTTAATTTAATAGGACAGTTTCAAATATATGTGAGGCAATATATGTGGAATTGCTTTCCATGAAGTATTTTGAATGAGCCTTTTTCTAGGCTCTGAAGAACTTAATTCAATGTTAGTATAATTAAATTTTATACAACTGAAAATTTTATATAAAAAATAAACACTAATTATATATGTTAAGATATAGAAAGTGTATCCTTTTCTTCAATAAATACATTAACTTTACTGTAAAGAAAATTTGTTGCCTTATATGATCATCTATAATTTTAGTATTTCAAAGATGACATTACATATTTTGTTATATTAAGGAAAAGCAAAGATATTTCTGGAAGGCACCAGGAGCCCTGTCCACACTGAGCACCATGAAGTTCACCTGCATTGAGTTTTTCCCTCCATATAACACATACTCCCAGACCAAAAAATAGCTCCTTCTCTCTAATCTGCGTTCCAGGCAAACCAATAGACTCCCATTGTCTCCCAGCCATCTATAGCAAAGACACTTTGTCCAAAACTGAGTATTATGAAATGCTTAAAGTGCTTTTCCAATATCTACTATGTTTGTGCAACATATTAAAAATATACAACAAAAAATTTTTGCGGTGTTTTTTCTTCTTAAGCATGTAGGACACAGGGCTGAAAAGTAATGAATATTTCAATGTTACCAACTTCTTCAACTTCAATTTTCATTATTGTTGATCTTGTCCTTCTGGGTGGGCATGGATAGTATTAAAACACTTGGTAGATAAGAAGATTGGTTTGAAAATTTTGGCCACTTTGGTGCAATGCAATCTGTCAGTTTTCCTAAAGACTTGTTAGGTATGATCTAACATCACATGTAGAGGAACTGGAGAAACAAGAATAAACTAATCCCAAAGCTAGCAGCAGAAAGTAAATAACTAAAATCAGAACAGAACTGAATGAAATGGAGACCCAAAAATTGACACAAAGAATCAACCAAATCAAAAGTGGGTTTTTTGAAAGGATAAACAAGATGAATAGACCACTTGCTAGACTAACAAAGAAAAAAAGAGAGACTAGATCAAAATAAGCACCATCAGAAATAACAAAAGTGACATTGCAACTGATTCCACAAAAATACAAAAGATTTGCAGAAACTATTATGAACACCTCTATTCACACAAACTAAAAAATCTAGAGAAAATGAAAAAAA